GGGCAGATCCCAGCAGTGAGATTCCAGGGCACCCCCCCCACCCACTCTGCTCTCCAGCCTTCGGGACGCTGCAGTGTCCCGGATGTGTGCACTGTCTCCTGCCTTCGCGAGACCCACTGCGGCAGCATGTGCCTGCTCACTTCTTCCTCTACCTGGCAGCCTGGCCCTCGGTGCCCTGGCTGCAGACTGCGTCCTTCTCAACTGACCCAGGAATCGCACTGAACGTTGGGAGTAGGCTGGTCCCTGCACCCTGTCCAGTGGGGCGCTGTGACATCTGTTTGTCTACCCAGAGGCTTGTTTTTGCTGCCTGTGCCTGTGACATGAAGGGTGTCGGTTGCTAAGACTGGGTACAAATCCACCTGAGTGACGGAGGACTGCTCTAACTGGCTTTGACTGCCCGGGTATTGCAGACACCGTTTTTCTTCAGAAATCGTCCTCTTACCTGCCCCTCGCTGCTAAGAGCACTTTGTGATTTGGTATTCCGGTTGCTGAATTCCTCTCTCAAAACATTTTAGCTTGCTTCCCCCAGATGCGCAGCCGACTTCCTCAGGTCATCATAAATCTCCCGTCCAGACCTGCTCGTGTAGACGACCCCAGTGCGCTGCTCACAGCAGCCCGTGCGAACTCTCCGCCGACTGATGTCACTCGTGTGTTTGTAACAGCCTTCGACTGTGGTGGTGCCAAGATAAATCATTGCCCAGAACCTGTGTGCTGGCAGAAGCCAGGGACTTAGTGTGACCCCTTTATTTTATAGGCGACTACAACAAAGCCCAGAAGGGCAGGTAACTCTCTCAAGGTCACACGGTCAGAACTTCCCTGACTAAATTGGGACTAGGAGCCAGATTTTCAGTCCTCTTTCTATTGCACCAAAAGCTATTTCTTTTCTATTTTTAATTAATATTTTTCAACTTAAAAAATATGCATAACATAAAATTTCCCATTTTAACCATTTTTAAATGTCCAGGTCAGTGGCATTAAGTACAATCACATTGTTGTGCAAACATCCCTACCGCTGATCTCCAGAACTTTTTCATCTTCCTGAACTGAAACTCTATTCATCAAACACTAACTCCTCCTCCAGTCTCTGGCGACCACCGTTCTGCTTCCTGTCTCTGTGAATCTGACTCCCCTGGGTACCTCAAATACATCCAGTATTTGTCCTTTCGCAACTGGCTTATTTTACGTAACATAATGTCCTCAAGGTTCATCCATGTTGTAGCAGGTGTCAGAATTCCCTTCCTTTTTATGGCAGAAGAGTATCCCATTGTGTGTATGGACCACATTTGTTTATCCACTTTTCCGTCAGTGGACCCTGGGTTGTGACTGTTGTGAGTAGCGCTGCTGGACAAGGATGTACAACCACGTGTTCACCAAAAACCATTCCGTATGCAAATCTCTGTATTTAGAGGCACTCACTGCTGCCTGCTATCACTATTTGTTTTCTTCTAATGGAAAGTTTGGAAAATACAAAAAAGCACAGTGAATATAATGATATTTTTATGGCATATATTTCCAAGATTTTATATTCATGTTGCCCCAAATTTTAAAAGTGAGAAAATTTAGACAAGTAGGCCAGTCTGTATAGTAGGGAGAACACTTGAACATATATATTTTTTTTATCCTCACCCGAGGACATTTTTTTTTTTTCATTTTTTGTTCAGATAGAGTGGGAGAGAGAGAGAGGAAGAGAGAGAGAGAGAAATATCGATGTGAAAGGGACACATCGAGTGGCTGCCACCCGCACTTCCCAACCGGGGCCGGGGACAAACTGCAACCGAGGTACATGCCCTTAGCGGGAACTGAACCCGGGTCTCTCTGGACCGCAGGCAGATGCTCTAACCGCTGAGCCAAACCGGCCAGGGCTACACTTGAACGTATTTAAGACAGAGTATGAAACCTGAATGTGACCTTGGCCAACCCTGGCATTTTAGAGGTCGTCCAGAGCATGATCTTGCCTTGCCAGCGCCGCAGCTTTGTGCGGTGCTTCTTAAGGCCATGCAAACCTCCTAACAGAGTGTCTTCCTGCTAAGGACAGTCTGAATTTTTCTTTGCGGGGAGAGGGGAGCACTGTCCCAGTTATATTTCTTAAATATCCACTAGGGGGCAGTAAAAGACATAAATTTTTTAATAGGCAGGATGACTGCCAAGCAATCAGGACACCACATCCTCTTCGTATCTCTTTCAGCCATCAATGCATACAGTTACAAGATAATGGATTTCATGTCCAATAGCAGTTTGGGTAAAAATGGAGATACCATCAGCTTTAGCCTAAGTGCAGGTCTTCCTCATGCTCAGGCTGCCGTTCAATGCATAAAACTTAATTCGGTATGTTGGTCCCGGATTGTATTTAATTCACATTAGTCCAGTGGCTCTCAGACCGAGTGACATCAGAAACACCCATCATGCTTTTTGCAAAATATGCATGCCCAGGTCTCTTCCCACATCTATTAAATCAGAATTTGGGGGGTTGGGACCTGGTTATATAGACTATATTTAGATTCTGGTCCATGACTTCTCCCTAAGAACCAATGCATTAGTTCTTAACATTAATAACTTTAATAGCTGGGGGGAAAGGGTCACCCTTGAGTAAAACGTCAGAGGAGAATGGATATGAAATTCTGAAAAATTTCACCGTTTTTAAAATAGAAGCCGCTGGAAGGTCTGGTGGCTGCGGGAAGTGCATTCGGCGCAGCCAGGCGTTCCCGCCGACGGCCCCGGGAACCCAGACAGAAGGGCTGGGGCTGGGGCAGTCCTGGCAGACTCGGGGCCTTTGCTTACAGTGCCACGGAGGCCACGCTCTGAGGCCAAACCCTCTAGTGTGAGAACAGAGCTCAGAGACCAATACTGCCCGCTCATTAAGAGAATCTTTCCTATAGTATTCAAAAGAGAGACTTTAATTTGATCTTATCAGAGGCACAAATGACACAGAGAACGTGCCGTGGGGTCAGAAGGCCTCAGTTCTCGTCCCCAGTCACGTCACCTCTCCAAGCCTCAGCTGCTGCATTTGAATTATAGAGGACTGGGCCGCGGTGATCTGCGAGGATCATTCCGGTTCTAAAAATTCAGCGATTCTGTTAGTATTAATAACCCTGATTTGTATGGCACTACTCTGGCAAAGAGCGAAAGAAATATCCAGTAATACAATGAATGGCAGAGACTATTGACCATGTAGTTTAATTTATTTAAGGCATACACTGGATTCAAAGGAGAAAATATTGCTCCTGATAATATATTAAACTGTTAGCATCTTCAGCATTGCAAAAGCTTTCCAGAGGGAGGAATTACCCACCGGTGCAAACCTGACATTTTTCACTTCCTGATCCATAACTGCCATTTCTCCAGCACACTTATATTTACTGTAAAGGGCCAGATGCATGAATGCTCCGGATGAATATTAAATAACTACACATAAACGTCAAGGTCACAGTTGCAAGAGAGGCTCGGTGGAGGGCCCAGAGAGGCTTGCATTGATCTCTGGTGAGGTTCCATTCTCGAATCCTGCTGACAAGGGGAAACAATTGATGTGGGCCATTATTAAGGCTTTAAGCGTTTCTCCATTGTTAAAGATCTGTTACAAGCCTGGAGTAACTGATAGTGCCCAAGGAATTGGCAAAAGCTTCACTTAGAAATATAGGCTGGTCAGAGAGATAAGTAAAACCCAGAGTGCAGATGTCCTGGGTTGGGCTTGCACAGCAAAGGTGGAGGCCAGGTGAGCCCGCGCTGGGGCATGCGGTTACTCTGAGTAGACTTCAGGGTGGAAGGAAGGCCTGTTCTCTAGCTCTGTCATACCAGGAGCTGCAGAGAGAGCGGCCTTCAAACCCATCTTTAAGTTTCTTCTGCTCGCCCTCACCACCACCACCACCCCCCGCCCCCGTGAAAACCCCTCTGCCAGCATTCAGTCCATCCATTTCCCATAGCTGACATGATGAAGGTCCGGGGACTTGGGTGCCTATGAATTGGGCAGACCCGGAGATCCAGACTGACTGTTTGGACTGGTCAAGTGGCCTGAATAATTGTGTGCGTGTCCTGCTGACCTGGAGCTGGGAGGAGGGCAAATATTATGGATGACAGAATTTAGTTTCAGAAGGTCTCAGCGGACTGAGGGATTGGCCATGCCTACTGGATGAACCTAGTAAGAGATATAAATGATACAACTGGCATTTCCCATGCACTAGCTCTGTGTTTGCCCTTCGCTCGGTTTAGTTTATTTCTTCTTTACGACGACCCATGAGGCTTGGTGTTATATCCCCATTTTTAAGATGAGGAACCCGAGACATGGCAGTACTGAAGAAGGTGTGAGCATGTTAGAGTTTTTTATCTAGACTCCAGTTTCTAGTTCTGGCCCTCTGTTAGCCACCAAGTCACTCCATCTTTGAAAACAGCACCAGCTGGGCTGGCCGGCCGCCTTGTGTGTCAGGTCCTAGCCCTTTGCATTTAATACCTCACTTATCCTCTTTTACAGATGAGAAAAGCACAGGTAGCTTCAGTAACTTGCCCAAGGTCACACAGTAAGTAGCAGGACCAGGATTCGAGACCAGGCAGCCTGACACCACGCCCACACTCTGAACAACTGACACACTGCCTCCTGTTTTCTATGTCATAAAAGGAGAGCCACTGTATTTTCTTACACAACTTCTGTAAAGTGCCTAATATAGTGCCTGGCACTCAGTAGGCACTCGTGAAGAGTCCTAGGTTGTCATGATTATCAGTTACATGACTTGTGCAGGGTTATAGCTAATAACTGGCAAAGATCTGGGATTTGAACCCAGGTCATGCGACTGCAAATCCACTGTGCTCGCAATATCCCTTCTGGAGGACAAGATGGAGGGCAGCCTTGGGTCACTGTCCCAGTGCCTGGTACAGTGTTATCTCCCTGGCGAGGTCACATAGGCAGGACTCATTTTGTCACTCATTCACCAAACATTTGCCAATGTCCTGCTCTGTCTTGGGGGTCGAGGGAGGAGAAGAACATCATGCTAACCCTTCTTTTCTCCCCTCAGGTTCGAATGGTGAAAGATGGCGACCCCTCCTGGAAGCCAACTTTTATTGTGAAACCTGATGGTGGTTGTCAGGGTGATGGAATCTACCTCATTAAAGACCCCAGTGACATCCGCCTGACAGGGACCCTCCAGCGCAGGCCGGCAGTGGTCCAGGAGTACATCTGCAAACCTCTCCTTATCGACAAGCTCAAGTTTGACATCCGCCTGTATGTCTTACTGAAGTCCCTAGACCCCTTAGAGATTTACATAGCCAAAGACGGACTCTCTAGATTTTGTACAGAGCCCTATCAGGAGCCCACCCCCAAAAACCTGCACCACATCTTCATGCACTTAACCAACTACTCACTGAACATCCACAGCCGCAACTTTGTCCACTCGGACAGCACGAGCACAGGCAGCAAAAGGACTTTTTCTAGCATTCTCTGTAGGTTGTCTTCCAAAGGCGTTGACATCAAGAAGGTCTGGTCTGATATCATCTCCTTGGTGATTAAGACCGTCATTGCTCTGACTCCAGAGCTCAAAGTTTTCTACCAGTCGGACATCCCTGCAGGGAGGCCGGGGCCCACGTGCTTCCAGGTAACCACCGCCACTTCCCAGCCGGAGTTCTCAACCTCGGCCTCCGGTCGGCAGGAGGAGGGGTGGGGGCGGGACAGCCAGAGGTGGGGCGGGCTGGGTGCTGGTGTGGGCTTTGGTGTTAAACCCGCGTCCAACTTGCTGCTTTTTATTTGCTAGCTGTGTGATTTGGGGTAAGCTACTTCCCTGTTCTCATCTATGAAATGAAACTAATAGTACCTTCCTTAAAGGATCCTTGTAAGGATTAAATGAGACAACACATGTAAAGCACAGTGCCTGCCATTCATTTGCGCATTCTTCCTTCCGGCGATTTTTACCACCCCTGAGTGGGGGCCGGGCACTGTCCTAGGGAGACAGCGAGTCAGGTCCCTGCTGGCTGATGCACAGAGTCTACTATTCTGGGAGACAAATAATTTAAAAAGCAATTAGTATGAAGTGTCACAAGTGCTAGAGTACACCATCTCATTGTGGAACCATCCACCATTTTCTGTGTGGGTGTGAGGGTGGTCTGGGAGGGCTTCCCAGAAGAAGTGGCAGTCAAACTGGAACCTGAAGGAAGAGGTAGATGAAGCAGGCAAGGCTGCACAGGGCTGGGGGAGACAAGGTGTTCAGGGGGGAGACATGTTTGCGACCCCAGGGGTATGAGAGAAGCAGAAGCGGTTAAGGATCTGAAAAAAGTGCAGTACGGTTGGAGGGTAGTCGGAGATGTGGAGGCAGATGAGGGGAGATGAGGTGGGAGAGGTAGTGGGGGGAAGTCATGGAGAGCTGAGGGCAGTAGGGGCCCTGGAGGATGCTCGCAGGGGACCGAGGCACTCATCTGCGTGTCACCCACACACTGGCTGTGGGTGGGGAATGGATTGAGGCCAGGCTCGGGGCAGGGAGGTGACTAGTGAACTGATTGCTTTCTTACAAGCAAGAGATGCTGCTGCCTTGGGTTATGGAGGTCTTGGGGGAGATGGAGCCAATTTGAGAGCCACTGAGGAGGTAGAATGGCTGGGTGTGGTGACTGGGTGGGGCCAGGGGAGTGGAGAGATGGTGGCAGTCGGAGGGGAAAACCAAGGCTGAGTGGCAGGTGGCTTAGGTCTTGGATGAATGGATGGAAGCTAGTGGAAGGGGGCCAGGCTGCTGGGGGGAAGGTCAGGAGTTGAAATGCCTTTGAAGTGCCTGTGTGACATCTACGTGGAAAGTCTGAGTAGACAATTGGGCACTTGGGCCTGGAGTTCAGGAGTGAAAAGTCTGGGCTGAAGAGAGAGCTTGGGAACCCATCGGTGTTCAGATGGTCGCTGAAGCCATGAGAGATTGCAGAGGCCCGGGAAGACCCTGTGGGCACTGCCGTTTAGTTAAGGGACAGGCAAAGGAGGGAGAACCAACCGAGGAGACCAACAAGAAGTGGCTTGAGATACAGAGGGATGTCAGGGGAGAACGAGCCCTAACTGCAAGGAAGATGAGCTTGGAGGAGAAGCGGGCAGGGATCAGCCTGGGAAAGTGCAGCTGAGGCCCGAGCAGGACCAGAACGGGAACTGAGCCTTGTACTAGCTGACCTGTGAGACGTGTCCCCAGTGGCATGATGGGACAGGGGCCGGAGTGTCGGGGACTGAGCCAGTGTGGGAGGGAAGGGAGTGGGAACGAGGGCAGACTGTTCCTTCAGGTCATCTGGCTGTGAAGGGGGGGGTGGGAACGTGGAGTGTGGGCACCAAGCAGGTTGACAGTTGTTTGCCACCAGATAGACCAGAGGGGTAAAGAGAGAATAAGAAGAGGTACCTGTGGGACCCTCTCCATCTAACCTTTAAAAGTATCTTGTAGCAGTTGTATATAAAAAGAATACAGCAACATGTATGTAAGCTATGTGGCAGGACAGCAAAATAATCATCCCAAACCACCTCCCAAGCCCAGAGTTCCAATTACCGCGCTGCTCCCATCCATTGCTCCATTCACCCCCGGGGCAGCCATTATCCTGAATTTTATGTTTATCACTTCCTTGCTTGAAGAACACTTATGGAACCATGACTGTATCCCTAAACAATATATTGTTCTGTTTTGCTTGTTTTTGAGCTGTATAAAAACTCTGTTATAAAGTGCGTAGACTCTGCAACATTCTTTCCACACATGTTCATGTGGTCGCGGGGCTGCTGCATGTCCCATCGTAAATGTGCACAGTTCGTTCATCAGTTCTTCTGCCAGCGAACACTTGGGTTGTTTGTAGTCCTCTGTCCCAGACTGTGACTGGAAAATAGCAGCTGGAGAAGGGGCTGGTCCCGAGGGGCAGCCCCACTCCAGGAGGCCCCCCGGGCTGGGCACCAGTCCGCAGCGTTTCCAGCAGGCTGCTGGAACCCTTTGGAGGGGAATTCAGACGGTGAATTCAGCCCCAGGAGGGGCTGATTGTCATCCAGAGCCCTGTCCTTAGGCACTTGGACCCCCAGGCTTTGGTTTCCAGGCAGGATGTCCAGCTCAGCCCTCAGGAACGTGGCTTATGGCATTAGAAAGGGTCAGTGGGCAGAACCTAGAGGAAGCACCAGAGAAAACAGGGCCTGCAACGTGGAGGCATCTAGGGGTCATCCCAGGGGACTGTGTGGTCACATCTGTTTGACCGTGACAGCTATTCCCAGAGTATCATGTGGGCCTGGCTTGCATGGCCAAGCCACAGAGCCCTGGCACAGGGAGAGTGCAGGGTGGAAGGCCAGGGTGGTTGTCTTGCCATGGACAGGCGGCCCGGGGCAGCCATCAGGATGGAACCAGGGGCCCAAGCTGTGGGGACTGGAGGGCAGAAAGGGAGGGACCCACTGGTTTGGACAGATCACATCTAACAAATGGAACCACAGCTCTGTGACCATTTTCCATTGCTTGACCGCACTAAATGTCAGGGGAGGAGCACAGCACTGGAGGTGAACTCCAGGGGGAGCTCTTGGGCCTCTGTTTCTTTTTCCGTGAATCACCTCCGCGCACTTCCCCACTGCCTCGCTAGGAGCATTGTGACATGATGGAGGTGAAAAGGATTTCTCCAGCGAGAAAGTGTTCGGTGTTTGAAATGCACTTTACCATGCATTTCAGACTCACGGTGCTGGAGAAAAGATCATCCTTTTCTCCTTGGAGTCCTTTCTTGCTTTTTAAATTTTTATTACTTGTTAGAGTTTCGAACACCTGAGCTAACTTGGAACCCAAAGATTTAGGGACAGTGTATGGTTCTGCCATTGACTTGCTGTGTGATGTTGCGCACATCACTTAACTCGTCTATGCCTCAGTTTCCTCAACCACCTCACAAGGTTGTTGTCCAACTCCTATGAGATCAAGATTATGCAGGGCTTGGCAAACTAGGATAGTGCTCCGTACGTATACGGTGTAATACATCATCTCTTTGCTATGAAGCCCCTTTTGTGTGTAGCGTGGGCCTGGCCCAGACTGCAGCATCCCAGGACATAAACCCTCGCCAACAAAGTTACATTTATCTGACACATGTGACCGTGACCCCCTTCCAGTCATAGCCACAATAACTACGTGGGAGACTGTGTTGGCCCGCAGCAGCTGCTGGCACAGCTCCGGCTGTGGGCAGGTTCCTGTCATCTGTTGCCTAGGAACGTGGCCGTCCTGTCATTCTGGCCTTTCCCCTGTCATTGCCCAGACAGCCCCAGCAATGTCCCCGCGTGTCTGTCTCCTTGAGGACAGCAGTATGACCTTGGCTTAAACAGTGAGGTCAGTCTGGGTATAGCTGATTCATGGGGCAGAAATGTATTGGCAGAGGAAAGGTTTCCAGCTCAGTGTTCCAGAACAATCTAACCCAATTCCATTCCTTGGTCTCTGTCTTCCTCCAGCTCTGTGTCTAATTCTCTCCTTGGCCGTGACCGTTCCCCAGATGTCTGGAGGAGACACCTTCCCTGGATCCTAAGGTGCTTCTCCTCCTCCTTCATTGTTCCTGTGACTTTCTCCTCCCTCCAGTCCCACACCCCCCATAGGAAGGAGGCGGACACGCAGTACAGTGGTCATGCCGGGGCTCGGGTTGGTTCTCCGATGCCCTGAGTTTGAGCTAGTCTCAGCTCCTCCTTCCAGCACCTCTAGCTGGCAAGCTCGGCAAGTTAACCTCTCTTTGCCTCAGTTTCCTTATCTGCAAACAGAGAATATTTGTATCTACCGCACAGAACTGTTGTAAGATAGAATGAAAGACAGCCATGTGAAACATTGGGCGCAGTCCCGAGCACAAAATATCACTTAATAAATGATCGTTTTTATTCTTATGTTATTTGTCGTTCATAACAACAGTTCTCAAACTTGTCTGTGAGGAAGCACCTTGAAGTTATAGGAAACCAGGAAACTGTCATGTTTTAAACATAATGGAACACCAGTGTTCCTAGGAACCGAGTTGGAGAACCAAGTCCTTAGCCTAGCATTGGTGGCCTCTCGGCCTGGTTCCAGCCTCGCTTCCCTGGACCTTCCCTGGACCCTGCGGGCTCACCAAACAGGGCCGGTTCCTGCCTCTTGGACATAATTTGTGCTTTCCGAGTTCTGCCTGCCTGTTCTCTTCGGTCTTGGCCCGTCATGCTCTTTCTTATTCTTAAAATTTTTTGAAATCCAATGTCTTCCAACAAGGTACTGCTCAAATCCCACCTTCTCTGCTAAACCTTCCTTGACCACTTCTGATATTTGGGCTTTATTCTTCCTTTGGACTCTAACGCAGTCCCTGGGTACCCACTGAGATGAGCCCTGAGCTAGTTGTGGGGCATGTGGCTATGGATGAGACACCTCCCTGCCCCTAAGAGGTACACAGGTGAGTGGGGAGGACTGGCACGTGGGAATTACTGTTCCTTGTAATCGATGCTGCAAGAGGGCATGTGCAGGATGCTGGGAGAGCACAGAAAAGGGAGTCACTAACTTTGCCCAATCCAGTCATGGAAGGCTTCCCAGAGGAGGTGATGATTATGCAGGAGCTTACAGCAATGAAGAATTTACCAAGCAGAAAACAGCAAGGGACACCACACTCCCCTACCTCTCAACCCCTTCCTCCAGGCCTGTGG